CCATGCAAGTTAACAAGTTTGACTTTGGCCGAGTATCTTTTTAAAGATACTTCTTGTTTTTACCTTGTGCTGACAAACAATTTATTTGTGTAATTATTATTAAACACATTAACGACAAAATATGTTTTTATTACACATTTGAATTGACTGGCAATATGGCATAGAATTGAACAAAATACATCTTGCATATAACGTAAGAGATGTGTATCTTGATTCATTTTTCAGGTTCACTACACTGCCGCTGAAAAAGAGTTGATGGCAGAATTAATGCGCGAGGATATTTTAAGGGAAAAGAGCGTGAAGGCACGTAGAGACGTACAGCTTTATGACGCAGCAAGGCGCCGTGCTGCTTACAACACCTAAGTAGATGTAGGTTTGTAACTCTTTCAAATTTTCAATACAGATATCCATCTGGTAACAGTTTCTCCTTTCTTGAACGTTTTGGACATTTATAACCGAAAGATACCGAAATATAGAAATTTTGATATGAAAATATCAGTATGTTAAAAGTATGTTCACAAATTATTAAGTGATTAAATCACCCTTCGAGAAATTCATCTTATTCTTAGTTTACATTACATGTATGATTTTTCCTTTAAATTGTTTTTTTTATTCTTTGTTTATTTTTTGTATTTTCTTTGTCTTTTTTCCTTTCTTTCATGTTTTGTGCTCGTCGTTTAATATTACGTACTTTTTTATCATTATTATTTCAGAAATGAGTTGTGTTGAAAGATGACAGTTTGCACAGATATTGCGACATTTAATTTTGAGGATGCATATATATGATTAACTTATTTACATATAATACATGTATATAATCATAAATACTTAAAGGAATAAAAAAAGGAACTTAATCTTATTTGATCATCAAGAAAATAGATTGTGTTTATTAGGTATAAAATTTCCACATTTAGACATGTGGTAACATTATTTAAATGGTAGTTGGTATAAAGACAAACCATATACCACTTGTATTATAATTATTATTATATGAATAAAAAAGCCATTTTGCAATCATTTGATTTTATTGATTCATGTGAACTATTGAAACACTTCTAATTCAAAAGTGACTTAGAGACCCATTGGTTCGGGTGTTTATATTGATATGTTATTTGTGTTATTAATATTACATGTACATTTATCACTACTATAAGATATTTACTTACTTATTTAATATGCATTTTGTCTGGTCAATATGCTTTGTAGACTGACTATTTATTACGGTGTCTATATTAACCATTTTACGACGCTTTCAAATATGAAAGACCCTCAATTAATACGTAAATGCAGAATTGTAAGTTAATTATTTAAATACACCATTGCATCCGTTATCAAAATAAACTTTTCTAAACTTTTTACTTATCAATTTGTTAATGAAGTTGTTGAATACTGATAAATTCTATTCTATCGCTATTGCTTTTTTCTAAGCAGAATGTGCATAGGCTAAATGATACTTCCGTTTCTAAGGAAATATCGCATTGTGAAAAAGGTTTATTGAAGGTCATATGCAAAATAAGATGTATTTTAGTTTTTGTTACAAAACTTCTGGTTTTTATTTGTTACATTATGAATAATATGTTACATAATTTCAGTATAAATGTTATGATCATTATTTAATCTAACCAGAACTTTAAATCTTAAAAAACAGTGATCTGTTTTTATGGACTTTTCTAAAGCAAAAATAGCTTCTCATCAAGACTCGTGTGAATGTGTTATGATATTATAATACAATACTCAAAATCTTTTTGCTTTATATATTTTATTTTTCCTAAAATAATGACGAACAAACATAAAGCGCATTTGTGTTTTCCTTTGGTTCCTATCCAGGTTAGGTGTACATTGTTTAGCTGTTGTTGGTTTTTCTCTGAAAATGAAAATAGAAATATGAAAAAATAAAATTGATCGTGATGAATATAATAAACATGCTTATATAAAGTCACCTTTGACTTGTAAAAGCATGATTTAAAAATGAAATATACATGTAATTTGAATTGAGACATGCTAACATTAATATTTCAACAATAGCTTTTGGATAAAAAGTACATACCTATAACTAAGATCAGTAAAAGTCATAGTCACGGGTCACGTGTGAAGACTTTTTGCCGATACCTAGACCACCTGAGCCAAGGCCCGAACCAAGACCAGTGCTCGAGAACAAGATGTTGATTACGAAGATGAACAGAAACACTGAAAGCATATAAACATATTTAACTTTCAAATACGACCTTTACTGTTAATCTTAACATACTTATCATAGAGCAAATGTGTTTAAAAGACACAGAATAAATCCAGAACTATATTACAGACTTCATTAATCTTATTTCATTTATACCGGTTTTTTAATACGTAGTAGCTTTATTCATTTAATTCTGAAAAATAATGAATTGTTTTTCTGACTGAACCCCTGTATCTTAGTGTTTTCAAATCTGTATTTTGGCATGTTAGGGAAATTTCATTTACCAGTGATATTCTTTCAACAGAAACACTATTTGAACATAACGGTATCAATGTTTTATCATAAATGCATCGTAGGTTGGTCATCATTTTAACAAAATCACATTATCATTTCATTATTTCATCATAATTTTAACATGATTACACCATAACTTTATTATAACGTCATCAGAGTTATGAATATTTTCGCATTTTTTTATCATGATTTTATAATAATTTCACCAAACAAACTATTTCTGAACTCATTTAAAATATTTTAAATATGTTAAACTCACGTTGGATAATGTTCCCAAACATGCCACCCATACCACCACTTGAGCCGCCTGTACCACCTAGAAAACCTCCAAAACCTGAAGATCCCGCCATGTATGGTCCGTAACCCATGTTACCCATGTAAGGGTATGAGGTAAATTTGTTGTGCCCCGTCATAACACTTCCGTAGCCAAGAGCCACACCAACACATGAGGCAAGAGCCAAACATCCGAGATATACCATTTTGTTCATTCTATGAAATAAATAAAAGCATTAAAAAACTAAAACTACGACATTTTTAATTGTTGGTGTGTTGAGGGGACCATACAAATTACAAATTAGTAAATATTTGTTAATTTTTAAAAAAATGCATCAAATGTGACAATTTTTCATAACTTATTTTATAAAGTAAAATTTACATGTTAATATATCTGAACCATACACAGATAAATTCAAAAGGGTTTCCTTATAAATGATGTTGATACATATTATAATACATATTTGCAAGTTGTTTTTCCTAGTAACCTTTCTTATCAAAAAAAACGAGTAAACAAAGCAAACAATTTGGTACACTAAACTTACTTTTTCCGTTGAAAATCCTAGTGAATTGAAATAAATTAAGTCTTTGGTAATTTCGTTATCACTTTGGTTGCGAGGTTGAAAGACAAACAAGTTGTTACTACTTTGAACCAGCAAGAATTCCTTTTTTATAGAGGAGTTTGTTGCTTGTACTCGGAAGGGGAAATACTATCCTTTATATGGGAAGAACATTTCCTTTTATGACTGAATCTAATAACCGCAATACAGTGTAATGTTTCTGTAAAGCACACCTCATACCTGATGAATAATGATTCAACGTTTTTTTTTAAATTAAAACATATCTTGCAAAGTTCAAGTTGTATTAGTGTCCTAAAGTCATTTCAGCGGTTGGACATTGTGGTTTTTCTAGAATGTGTATACAGCGTTTTATTAAGTTTTCTTTTTGTTGTACCATTTTCAAATAACTCACAGGGCAAATAAATGAAATTTGAATTCTAAATCCTATAATTAAAGAATATGCATAGGCATTGAAATCGTAAAAATAATTTACATATTTACAAGAACATAAAAATGTAGCGAAGTGACGCAACAAAATGTTTTGTATATATATAAAAAAAAATAACAGCATTTATTTGTTAGTATTGAGTATGTCTAAAATGATCGTCGCCATTCCAGTATAATAATTTTAGCCATATCGGAGTGAAAAAAAAGAAAATATAAGTAAGTGCTTAATTTAAAAGATATTATGTCAGAAAAATAACTGTATCTGCATTCAAAGTTTAAGACAGCTAAATACCTATTTTGTCATGTAAAATTCTTTTATTTTTAAGTCTATTTTTGCACTATGTCTTTGTCTTACATTGAAGATGCTTAAATGTGACATTGACCACCAAATACACTAGACACTGCTGCATTATGGCAAAGTTCAATTGTATATCTGTTTTGTTATTAATGCGGTTGCATAGCTTTTTTTTCAAAGGGTGTCCCTACTACAAACGCTGGGTTATTTACTTATCTCTCTGGCTGATAACTGTCATTGGTTCTACATATCACATTACAGATATTGCATGTAAGGTACTTAAAAATGCCCAAATGTCTTCAAGAGCAGTTTTGCATGTGGTACTTAAAATACCCAAATGTCTTCAAGAGCATTTAAACATGTGGTACTTAAAAAGCCATAATGTCTTTAAGAGCAGTTATTGCATGTGATACTTAAAATGCCAAAATGTCTTCAAGATTTATTCTACATGTGGTACTTAAAATGCCAAAATGTCTTTAAGAGCAGTTTTACACGTGGTACTTGAAATGCCCATTTGTCTTTAAGAGCAGTTTTGCACGTGGTACTTTAAATGCCAAAATTTCTTCAAAGGCAGTTTTGCATATGGTTCTTAAAATGCCAAAATGTCTTCAAAAGCAGTTATCGTATGTAGTACTTAAAATACCATAATATCTTCAAGAGCAGTATTGCATGTGGTACTTAAGATGCCATGATGTCTTTAAGAGCAGTTTTCTTTCGCATGTGGTACTTACAATACCATAATATCTTCAAGAGCAGTTTTGCATTTAGTACTTAAAATACCATGATGTCTTTAAGAGCAGTTTTGCATGAGGTACTTAATATGCCAACACGCTTCAAGAACATATAACATGTGGTACTTAAAATGCCATAATATCTTCAAGAGCAGTTTTGCATTGGTACTTAAAATGCCATGATGTCTTCAAGAGGAGTTTTGCCACAGATACTTAATATACCAAAGTGTCTTCAAGAGCATTTTTGCATGTGGTATTTAAAATGCCCAAATGTCTTAAAGTTTTTGTATGTAATATTTGAAATCCTATAATAACTTCAAGAGCAGTTTTGCATTTTGAATTAGACTGCTATGAATGCAACCAAAACTTAAAATGACGATGTTTGGGTTTGGTAGATTGAATGAAATGAAGTTTTTTTGCTCTACACAGGCCGGATAATGTTAGAAATGTCAACGAAAATAAAAGTAAGGTACCTCATGTGGGTGAATTTTGGAGTAGTCAGTGTGAAATCAAATTTCGATAATTTTCGCTGTGAAATTATCAATTATAATTTTCACGGATAATCTAATCAGTAATCTACTCAAAAGCATAAGATCAACTGATTATTTTATTATTTCATTTGTAGACACTACCATATTATGACCATATCAACAACAGCTACTCAAAAGACAATTTTTCTACATTAGTATTTTCTAATAAACTTGTAAACAAAACGTTTTGTCATTTGTAAATACTTTTCGTGTCATTCTTGTCACTGATTGGCTGAAAGTATATCAACAGTTAAATAATGTATTGTACAAATATCAACGACGTTTATAGAACTCATTCCCAGACAAAACCCAGCCGTACACAGAAGGCACCGAACTAACAATGAGAGAGAACACAAGTGCGGAGGGGAGGAGCATGAATGCAACATTTTATACCTGCTGCTACAGCATCAGCAAGTTCTGCAATACAATGATAGTGCCTTTTCTGATCTGCATGGGACAGAAAACAAAAACAAAGAGGTCCAGATTTTATTTTCTGCCCTGATAACTTTTTTATTATTATTCCATCAAATGTTTTGAGATAAGGTGTAGAGCACGCTTATTTTACTGAAGAAGCAATACATAAACCATTTCCTAGGGGAAAAAATGCTTTTTTTTTCGTAAAGTGAAATTGGTAATTATATAACTGTCCGTTAAATATTGATTTCACTCATTCTATGTATGAGTTACTAAACAAAACGAGAGGGTTTTACACTTTATCTGTTTAAAAATAATTAAATATTAAGAAAATAATGAAAGTCATAGTTTATCGCAGGTCATAAAATGTCATGTGGTATATAGGCATCGTGAAAGATTTGTATCATCTACGCATTTATTGTCCACGTCACATGTTTAGTATGAAACACGCTCGCCCTTTAATACAGAGGACACAAAGAGAATTTGGTGTGAATCACCAAATATAATTTTATTCCCGTAAAGGGGAGAATCTAAGCTTTCGAAAAAATGTTCACTTATTCACGGGTGTAAGGACAGCTCACTGATCAGGTCATAAATAGTAAGCTGGAGAAAAATCAAGAAAAATATCAGCTAAGGCTAAGGTTCTCTCGAAGAATAAATTAACTTACTCCAAACAGATGTCAGTTGAGTCTAAAAATGTCAAGTATATTCCATAAGAAGATTTTTACAAAGTTGTACGTAATTTTATGAATTAAGAATCTAATTGCAAATTTACATATGAACATGACAACAAGTTGAAGAGTATAGAGCCTGGTCTGGTTCTATATTGGCTGTAAAGGCTAATCACTTCCGGTTTCAGAAGGGAAAGGGTTAAAAGTACAAAATTATGTGATAATAATTAGACCGTCTGTTATATTTCATGTCCTGGCTATCGGAATTATAAAACAAGTTACCAAAAAAAATATGTCTAATATGTTGTGTGACTTTTTGTATCATCAAGACAGGGGCTATGGGTACTTGAAGAAAACAGTAGCTGAAGATGAGCAGGTTCACGATATTCTCGTTATTTGAATGCGCAAAGGGACATACGAAATAGCAAAGAACAAAGTTAAAGGGACTAGCTCCTGTCCTGTTGATTTTGTGTAATGGATTTCCCGCCTAAATTTAAATTTGGAACAATTGTTCAAAATTTACAGTAATTCAATAATGTAAAATTTGAACCAAAACAGAATATACATTAATCAGGCTGGATGACCTCGGGTTTTGTATGTATGTGATACTGTTTAAATATCTTCTTTAAAAGTGAAAAAAAGTCTGGTCGTAATTTTACCATTTTTATTTTATTTTTTATTTTTCAAATAAATACAATGTTAAATCACAGATGAGTTTCATTTTGGTTTCCCTGTAATATATACATCAGTCGACGCATTTCTCTATTTCTCCTTTCCATTGCTCTCCTGAAATTCATTACAAAGTATGTAAATGTCTTTGCTATGAATAGTTTACATTTGAATATTACATATTTATAAGCAAAAAAAAAAAAAGACCATATCATGATCAAGAAATTATATGAAAAATTGAAAATAAGAAAAAGACATTTAGGCATATCTAAACAAAAGGTTGACTAAATGTGAAAATAATGATTTGCCTACATCTTATTTAAACTGTGTTCAGTAAAAGTCATAGTCACGGGTCACGTGTGAAGACTTCTTGCCGATACCCAGGCCACCTGAGCCAAGGCCCGAACCAAGACCAGTACTCGAAAACAAGATGTTGATCACAAAGATAAATAAGAACACTGAAATAAGACAATATAAAATACATTATTTCATTAAAAATAATAGCAAGAGAAATAATTTTTCGTAATATAAATTGCATAGAATATGAATGACACAAAAAGTAAAATATATAAGTGTCGACTGTCCATACATGTATAATAAAATTCATTATCTTCTAACTGAATGTACATTAAAATGTTTATAACACAATAAAACAAGATCACAAAATTACTCCATATATTTTTCACTGGAAGTTTTGATTTATTTTTAAAGTAAAAATTCACGCTTACATTTTTTTCTAAACAAATATCAAAGGACGTCGTATACAACAAAGAATGAACGTTTGTTAAACTCACGTTGGATAATGTTCCCAAACATGCCACCCATACCACCACTTGAGCCGCCTGTACCACCTAGAAAACCTCCAAAGCCTGAAGATCCCGCCATGTATGGTCCGTAACCCATGTTACCCATGTTACCCATGTAAGGGTATGAGGTAAACTTGTTGTGACCCGTCATAACACTTCCGTAGCCAAGAGCCATACCAACACATGAGGCAAGAGCCAAACATCCGAGATAAACCATTTTGTTCATTCTAGGAAAAGAAAATAGATAATTATTATCAAAAGCTAGGATATATTAGATATTTGAACAAAATAACTTATCTGTTTATAAGTTGAAGTGATGACCAAATACTATACAAGTAAGTAAGTAATGCATCAAATGTGATAATCTTTCATTTCTTACTTTTATAAGGTAAAGTTTACATGTAAATATAAGTGTCTGAACCATACAAATTATCACCAGATAAATTCATAATGTTTCCATTATAAATGAAGTTGATACATATTTAAATACATATTTTCAAGTTTTCTTTTTCCTTTACCAATGCATTTTGTAACATTTTCTTATCAAGAAACGAGTCAACAAAGCAAACAATTTGGTACACTAAACTTACTTTCTTAGTTGAAAATCCTAGTGAATTGAAATAAATTAAGTCTTTGGTAATTTCTTTATCACTTTGGTTGTCAGGTTGAAAGACAAACAAGTTGTTACTACTTTGAACCAGCAAGAATTCCATTTTTATAGGAGTTTGTAGCATGTACTCGGAAGGGGAAATACTATCCTTTATATGGGAAGAACATTTCCTTTAATGACTGAATTTAATAACCACAATACAGTGTAATATTTCTATAAATCACACCTTTTACTTTATGATTAATTATTCAACGATTTCTTTATTAAAACATATCTCGCAAAGTTCAAGTAGTAATAGTGTCCTAAAGTTATTTCAGCGGTTGGACATTGTGTTTTTTCTAGAATATGTATACAGCGTTTTATTAAAGGGACTCCACTGAGGTGTTTTGGCATGACGGAACTGGAAATAATTTTTCGAGATTAATGCTCAGTTTGATGTAGGTCGAGATCAGTTACTTGTGTGCAAAATTTTAGATCATTCGCTCTTGCGGTTTATCCAGGATAATTATTTAAATTGTGAAAAATGACACAAATTGGAAAAGCGTTTAAACGCTTTTAACTCAAATCGTATCAAAAATAGCACAAAATACATTTTTCAGTTCATTTTTGAGAATATATTTCTGAATTATTTTTGCTTGTCTTCCTGTGTTCCGTGCCCCTGCTGATCTGTGTAAAAAATTTAATTTTATGATTTTAGATTTCAGTGTAGTTCCTTTAAGTTTTCTTTTTGATGTACCGTTTTCAAATATCTCACAGGGCAAATGAATGAAATTTGAATTCTAAATACTATAATTAAAGAATAGGCATAGGCATTGAAATCGCAAAAATAATTTACATATTTCCAAGAACATAAAAATGTAGCGAGGTGACGCAACAAAATGTTAGTATAAACAAACAAATAACAGGATTTATTAATTTGTATTGAGTATGTCTAAAATGATTGTCGTCATTCCAATATAATAATTTTTGCCATATTCGAGAGAAAAAATAAATAAAAAGAAAATTAAAGTAAATGCTTAATTCAAAAGATAGCATGTATATCTGCATTTTAAAGTTTAATACAGCTATGTAATACAGTAAATACCTAATTTTTGTCATGTAAAAAAATTCTTTTATTTTTAATTACTAGTAAATTGTTACAATATGGCCTTTGTATCTTAACATGACGCTTCTGCAAATTGTCTTACATTTTACATGCTGAAATATGACTTTGACCACCAAATACACTAGGCACTGTAGCATTATGACAAAGTACATTTGTATAGAAAAATCTACTTCTGTTTTATCAATGCGGTGGCATAGCATTTTTTTCAAAAGTGCAATTTTGTTTTGAAAGGGTGTCCCACTACAAACGCTGGTATTTACTTATCTCTCTGGCTGTTGACTGTCATTGCTTCTACATGTCACATTACAGTTATTTCATGTTAGATACATAACAATGCCAAAATGTCTTTAAGAGCAATGTTTCATGTGGTACTTAAATTACCATAATATCTTCAAGAGCAGTTTTTGCATGTGGTACTTATAATGCTGAAATATCTTCAAGAGCAGTTTTGCATGTGGTACTTCAAATACCATATCATGTTCAAGAGCAGTTTTTCATGTGGTACTTAAAATGCCCAAATGTCTTCAAGAGCAGTCTTGCATGTGGTACTTAATGCCTAAATGTCTTCAAGATCAGGTTTTCATGAGATTATTGAAATGCCCAACTGACTTCAAGATCGGTTTTGCATGTGGTACTTCAAATGCCCAAATGTCATCAAGTGCAGTTATTGCATGTGGTACTTAAATGCCAAAAAGGCTTTAAGAGCAGTTTGCATGTGGTACTTGAAATGCAAAAATGTCTTTAAGAGCAATTTCTCATGTTGTAATTGAAATGCCCATTTGTCTTCAAGAGCAGTTTTGCACGTGGTACTTTAAATGCCAAAATTTCTTCAAGAACAGTTAACATGCGATACTTAAAATGCCAGAATATATTCAAGATCATTTTTGCATGTGGTACTTAAAATGCCACGATGTCTTCAAGAGCAATTTTGCATGACGTACTTAAAATGCCAAAATTTCATCATGTGCAGTTATTGCATGTGATACTTAAATGCCAAAAACGCTTTTAGAGCAGTTTGTGTGTGGATCTCAAAATGAAAAATGTCTTTAAGAGCAATTTTACATGTTGTAATTGAAATGCCCATTTGTCTTCAAGAGCAGTTTTGCACTTTTGGTACTTTAAATGCCAAAATTTCTTCAAGAACAGTTAACATGCGATACTTAAAATGCCAGAATATATTCAAGATCATTTTTGCATGTGGTACTTAAAATGCCACGATGTCTTCAAGAGCAATTTTGCATGAGGTACTTAAAATACCAAAATGTCTTCGAGAGCAGTTTTCGTATGTGGTACTTAATATGCCAATATATCTTCAAGAGCGGTTTTGCATGTGGTACTTAAAATACCATGATGTTTTCAAGAGCAGTTTTACATGAGGCACTTTATATGACAAAATGTCTTCAAGAGCACTTTTGCATGTGGTACTAAAATGCATAAATGTCTTCAAGTATTGCATGTAATACTTGAAATCCTATAATAACTTCAAGAGCAGTTTTGCATTTGGAATGAAGTGTAATTATTAGACTGTTATGAATGTAACCAAAACTTAAAGAGACAATGTTTGGGATCGGTAGATTGAATGCAATGAAGTATTTTTTATCTATTTGAATTACGTTTGTAATTTAAGTAATAAGTCAATTTCATCATTGTTTTGCTCTAAACTGGCCTGATAATGTCGTAAATGTCAGCGAAAATAAAAGTAAGGTACCCCATGTGGGTTAATTTTGGAGTAGTCTCTTTATTGAAAAGTGTTAAATCAAATTTCGATAATTTTCACTTTGAAATCATCAATTATAATTTTCACGAATAATCAGTAATCTACTCAAAAGCAAAAGATAAATTGATTATTTTATATATAATTTCATTAGTAAGACACTATCATTATAACAATATCAACAACAGCTACTCAAAAGACAATTTTTCCATATCGTGTATATTCTAATAAACTTGAAAACAGTCGTGATTTTGTTTGTTAATACTTTTCATTTAATTCTTGTCTATTTTAAGCAGCATTTTTTCATACTGTAATACTGATTGGCTGAAAGTATATCAACAGTTAAATAATGTATGGGAAAGGTCAACAAGGCAGGGCGACGTTCACTGAACGGATTCCCAGTAGTACACAGAAGGCACCGAACCAACAATGGAAGAGAACACAGGGGAGGGGGAGAGAAACATGTATGCAACATTTTATGCCTGCTGCTATATCATCAAGACAGGGACTATAGTACTAGGTGATAATCGTAGTTGAAGATGACCAGGTAAAACGATATTCTAGTTATTTGAATGCACAAAGGGACACAAGTACAAGAGAAGAGCAAAGTTAAAGGGACTAACTCCTGTCCTTGATTTTGTGTAATGGATTTGCCTCGCTTCATTTAAGTTTGGAACAATCTTTCAAAATTTAGAGTAATTCAATAATGTAAAATTTGAACCAAAACAGAATATAAACTGGTCAGACTGGATGACCTGGGACTTTGTATGTATGTGATACTCTTTAAATATCTTTTTCACAAATAAGAAAAAAGTCTGGTCGTAATTTTACCATTTTTATTTTATTTTTTATTTTTCAAATAAATACAATGTTAAATGACAGATGAGTTTTATTTTGGTTTCCCTGTAATATATACATCAGTCGACGCATTTCTCTATTTCTTCTTTCCATTGCTTTCCTGAAATTCATAACAAAATATGTAAATGACTTTGCTATAAATAGTTTACATTTGTATATTACATATTTATAAGCAATAAAAGACCATATCATAATCAAGAAATTATATAAAAAGTTGAAAATAAGAAAAAAGGCATTTTGGCATATCTAAACAAAATGTTGACTAAATGTGAAAATAATGATTTGCCTACATCTTATTTAAACTGTGTTCAGTAAAAGTCATAGTCCCGGGTCACGTGTGAAGACTTCTTCCGATACCCAGGCCACCTGAGCCAAGGCCCGAACCAAGACCAGTGCTCGAGAACAAGATGTTGATCACAAAGATGAATAAGAACACTGAAATAAGATATATAAATACATTATTGCACTTGAAATAATAGCAAGAGAAATAATCATACGTAATATAAATTGCATAAAATATGAATGACACAAAGTAAAATAAAATGAATTAGTGTCGATTGTTCATACATGTTTAATAAAATTCATTATGAATTACAAAAGGAGTTGCATTATAGTGTGAACTGTTCATACATATATCATAAATTCATTATCTTCTAACTGAACTAACTTAACGTATATCAAAATGTTGATAAGTTAATATCACAAGAATAATATATTTTATTTTTCGGTAGAAGCATTGATTCTTTTTAAATAATGAATCCACTCACAGACATTTTTTTCTAAAATTTATCAAAGGATGCCGTTTATAATTTGTAAAACTCACGTTGGATAATGTTTCCAAACATGCCACCCATACCACCACTTGAGCCGCCTGTACCACCTAGAAAACCTCCAAAGCCTGAAGATCCCGCCATGTATGGTCCGAACCCGTAACCCATGTTACCCATGTTAGGGTATGATGTAAATTTGTTGTGCCCCGTCATATCTTCAAAAGCAGTTTTGCATGTGATACTTAAATGCCATAATATCTTCAAAAGTAGTTTTGCATGTGGAACTTTGAATGCCAAAAGGCTTTAAGAGCAGTTTGCATGTGATACTTAAAATGCCATAATATCTTCAAGAGCTGTTTTCTTTTGTGGTACTTAAATGCTATAATATCTTCAAGATCAGTTTTGCATGCTTTACTTTAAATACCATGATGTCTTTAAGAGCAGTTTGCATGTGGTACGTAAAATGCCAAAATTTCTTTAAGAACAGTTTTGCATGTGGGATTAAACGTCATTAATGTAACCAAAACTTAAAGATACGATGTTTTTGATCTTTTAATTGAATTAATTGAATTAATTTTTACTTGTTTGAATTACGTTTGTAATTTTAGTTATTTAGTTAAATTTTGGCTTTGTTTTGCTCTAAACAGGCCTGATGATATACGTGTTTAGATAACATACGTTTAAAATCTTCTGGCTCTTTACGTAACAGTGGTGGTGTTTCCGTGTATATTAAATCGCACCTGATAAAAAACAATTTTATTTCACGTATATGCACTGACTTTAACGATTGTATAGTTTTATATATTAAAAGTGATTTGTATAGATCCATGCAAGATATTATTTTATACATTGTTTATGTTTCTCCTGAAGGGTCAAATATTTATGACAAAAAGTCCGAAAAAAATGGAATTAAAACCATTCAAAGTAATATTGAAATATTAAATAATATGTATCCAAATGTATATCTATACTTAGGTGGCGATTTCAATGCACGTACGAAGGATTTGTTAGATTATATTCCACATGATGATTTAGATGTTATATTTAATACAGAAGTTGATTATGATTCAGACTATTTCGAAATTTCTAGAAATAACAAAGATATTGAGAGATATAATTTATTTGGGAGATCTCTTGTAGAATTATGTTGTATTCATAGTATCCATATTTTAAATGGTCGTTTGTACAATGATGTTGCAGGTAATTTTACTTGTTTAACTTACAATGGATCAAGTGTTGTTGACTATCACATTGTCTCGTCTGATATTTTTTCTCATATAAGTTATTTTAACGTTGAAGAGCGTCACGAATCAGATCATTTACCAATTTGTGCAAGATTGACTTTAGAGCGAGGGCAACCATTTGTTAGATATAATAAGAAAAATGAAACCTTTTAATGAAGTACATGTCGACAAATATAGATGGAATGATAGGTATATGGCGGATTTTCTTACAATTATTTACCGCGGAGTATAATTCTATACGAGAGAATTTACTTAATGAAATAGATCTAAGTGTTAACAATGCAGTTAATCATATCATTAATATTTATAAAAAATCATCAGCAAATATGCGCGTTAGATATTTTAGCGCAAAATAGTGTGAATAATAATTCAACCCTGGTGGGACCGAGAATGTGAAACAACTAAGCAGCTTAAATACGCAGCTCTACGACGTTTTCGCTGGACTAATAACACATTAGACTTTCAACAATTTGTAGCGCTCCGAAAACGTTTTAAAAAAACTTGTTATATAAAAAAGTATCTTTACCAAAAAGTCTAAGCGCGATCAACTAATTACGTTACGATCAAATCCCAAAGCCTTTTGGAAACTGTTAAAATCTATAAATGGTAATATAAATGAACAATCTTCATGATAGATACGGGAGCTTGGTTTGATTATTTTCATGAGTATTTGTTTAAAAGTAACCAACCTAATATATGTGAAAGTAATTGGGACTTTAGAGTTAATACTTGATGAGGAAAATCAGTATTATTGAATTCTGAAATTTCCTCGATGAAGTCATCAAAAGTATAAACAAATTGAAATGTGGAAAATCACAGGGAAGTGATGGCATCGGAGCAGAATTCTATAAAAAATACTTCGTCATTAATCGCACCTGTCCTTTGTAAATTGTTTAATAAGATATTTAGTACTGGGGTTTTCCCAGACATTTGGAGGGATATATTATAGTACCTGTGTGTACAAGTCGGGGGGCCTCAGGATGACCGTCTAATTATAGAGGAATTTCCTTAATCAATGGTATGTATAAAATAATTTTTTCTAAATATTATATATGATAGGTTATATAATTGGGCTGAGAAATTTGATAAAATAGATGAATCCCAAGCAGGATTTCGAGCCGGTTACTCTACAATGATAATATTTTTAAATTCAAAGTATGGTACAGAAATATATTAGTTAAACCGGGCGGACGATTTTATGTTCTTTATGTAGATTTTAAAAAAGCATTTGATGGACTTAAACATTTTAATTTATATTCAAAACTATAAAACAGATGTGGCGTTTAGGGGGAATTTATTTCGTGTTTCTTTTATCAATGTACTCAAAAACTGCGTGGATGTGTACAAGTTAGTACTACCAAAAATACAGACTATTTTAAATGTAACATAGGTACAAGACAAGGGACTAACAAGTACGATTATGTTTAATCTGTATATAAATGGGGGGTGTTATCTCCCTTTCTGCGTAATAAGGGACATCGCGGTATATTCATTACGGATCAAATTCCCGATATTATATGCATTCTTTTCGCTGATGATGTTTGCAAAATTGCGCCGCATACTGCGATCGAACTTCAGTCTCAATTAAATTCAATTTCAGATTTTTTGTAATAATACCGGTATGTCTATAAATGAGAATAAAACTGAAATTATTGTATTTAGAAAATGGTGGACCGCTCAGATCATATGAAAAATGGTTTTACCAACGGCAGTTCAGTAAATGTCACACCAATGTACAAATATATGGGTCTTTTATTTACACCTAAATTATCTTGGACGAAAGCAAAAACTAAACTTGCTGCACAAGCTAGGAAATCTATTTATGCTATTAAATCATATCAAAGAAATTTTGGAAAGTTTTTACACTCTGATTATTTTAAATTATTTGACTCTATGGTAAAACCTATAACATAACATAACATAACATAACATACGTTTTATTGTAGTTAGAGGCCTCCGGCCCACGATACACATAATATTTGTACATTTTTTTTTATAATAGTTTTCATTATTTACAAAATAAATTGATGCATCAACAATATATAATTCATATACATAAAATTTATTCTTGATCAATACAAAAGCGGGTAATTTTTTTTACGAATAAAGTGAGTAACAAGAAGTATTATTATCAACATTAACACTGCTGAATTTAAGAATGTATTTTTAAAGCACAGCAAAGGAACAACTTATTCGTGTTCTTTAAATGCTGTTCACTGTATAAATTTGTTATGTCAGTTTTAACATCATCTAGTTCATATTATCGGTTCCAGTTAGTTAAATTAGGATGTTCCAACATTTTTAATAAACATATTTCTAGTTTCCAAAGCCTTGTATATATAGTTTGCAAGAGCGAATACTTACCTATGGTGCCGAAATTTATGGAAGTGAAATCTCCGAAATTCTTGAACAAGTTCAAATACAATATTGTAAAGATTTTCTAGGTGTAAATTATTCTGTTAATGATAATGTTGCATTGGGAGAATGTGGAAGGATGCCTTTTTATGTTATTGATCATCATTGTAAAAAAATTATCAAATATCTTTTGTGTAAACTTCTTTGTATGCCAGAACACACAGATATCCTAGAAATTGTTATTTGATGTTAACTAGACAAGATAATGTTTGGAAAGAAAAATTTGGGCTACTTCAGTAAAAACTTATTGTATACTTATGGGTTTGGCTTTGTATGGCTAAGTCAAGAAATTGGGATATCAATCTATTTATTTGTCAATTTAAACAAAGAATTATTGATTGTAAGACAAAAATTGGATGGAAGAAATTCAGAATTCACCCCGATGTGACAAACCTATAAAATTTTTTCAAATCTATTTTTAAATCCTGAAAAGAGTATTTATCTATTGATATGCCCTTTTATGTAAAAAGATCATTATCCGAGATTTAGATGTTTCTAGTCATAAATTATAATAGAAACCTGGACGACATTTGGGTATACCAAGAAATGAGCGAATTTGCCAACACTGTCTGCAAAATTATAACAATTCGTTTCATCGAAGATGAAATTTCATGTATTTTTATTTGTAATAGATTTTTCCAACAAAGACAACGTTATATATCTCCATGGTAAAGTCATGATTATACATTCCATAATTTTGTAATTTGATTAAAACTAAAAATGAAGAAAACATAAAGAATATTGCTTTTTTTGTTCATGAAATTATGAAAATTGTTGATAATTAATATCAATAGGAATGCATGTCATGTATAACAATGTATATTGTAGACACAGCTAAATATGTATTTCTGTTTTGATTATATTGTGTATTTTGGGCCGGAGGCCTTTATTTACAAAATAAAATGTTGATGTTGATGTTGATGTTGTCAGCAAAAATAAAAGTGAGGTACCTCATGGGGAAATTTTTAAAGAATATTCTCTTTATTGAAAAGTATGAAATTATATTTCGATAATTTTCAAATTTAATCAGTAATCCACTTATAAGCATAAGATAAATTGATTATTTTATAATTTCATTTGTAAGACACTACCATTATGACAAATATCAACAACAGCTACTAAAAAAGGCAATTCTTTCTACATTTATGTTTTTTTTTTCTAATATGACTTGTAAACAAAATTTTTTGTCTATTGTTAATTCTTTTTTTTAATTCTTGTATCCTAAGTAGGCACTTTTTTTTCATACCGTATTACTGATTGGCTAAAAGTATATCAACAGTTAAAAAATATATGGGAAAGATCAACAAGGCAAAGCGACGTTCACTGAACGCATACCCGAGACAAAACGCAGCCGTAACAGAAGGCACTGAACCAACAATTGGGAGGAGAACACAAGGGCGGAGGGGACAAAAATCTTATACCTGCTACAGCATAAGCCAGTTTTGCTATACAATTATAGTGCCTTTAGTGATTTGCATGGTGCAGAAAACCAAAACAAAGATGTCCAGTAATCACTTTTTTATTATTTCATTAAATGTATGAGATAAGGTGTAGAACACGCTTATTTTAGTGAAGAAGCAATACATAAAACATTTCCTAGGACAGTTTTTTTCGTAAAGTGAAATTGGTAAATATATAACTGTCCGTAAAAATAATGATTTCACTTGAAACATTCTATGTATGAGTTACTAAACAGAACGAGAGGGTTTTACACTTCATCTGATTAAAAATAATTAAATACTAAGAAAATAATGAAAGTTATAATTTGTATATAGGCATCGTGAATGATTTGTATCATGTACTCATTTAGTGTCCACGTCACATGTTTAATATGAAACATGCTCGACCTAACAGTGGACACAGAGGGAATTTTGTGTGAAACACCAAATACAACTTTATTACCGTGAAAAGGGGAGGACCTAACCTTTCAAAGAAAAGTTGCCTTATTCAAAGTGAAAGTGAAGACGAATCACTGAGCAGGTCATACAAATTGAGGTGCAGACAAATTGAGAAAAATATCAGTTCAGGCTAAGGTATTCTGGAAGAATAAATTAACTTACTCCAAACAAATGTCAGTTTAGTCTTAAAATGACAAGTATATTCCAAAAGAAGATGTGTGCAAAGCTGTACGTAATTTTATGAATTTAGAATCTTATTGCAAATTTACATTTGAACATGACAAAAAGTTGAAGAGTGTAAAGCCTGGTCTGGTTCTATATTGGCTGTAAAGGCTAATCACTTCTGGTTTCAGAAGGGAAAGGGTTAATAATAATTAGACCGTCTGTCATATTTCATATCCTGGCTTTGACGTTTTTATTATTGGAATTATTCAACCAATTACCAAAAAAAAATGTCAAAAGTGTTTTGTGACTTTATATCATCTAGACAGGGACTATAGGTACTAGTTGAAATGAGTAGTTGAAGATGAGCAGGTAAACGATATTCTAGTTATTTGAATGCCCAAAGGGACATACGAAACAGCGAAGAGCAAAGTGAAAGGATTGATTTTGTGTAATGGATTTACCGCGCTTAATTTTAATTTTGAACAATCTTTCAAAATTTACAGTAATTCAATAATGTAAAATTTGAACCAAAACAGAATATACACTGATCAGACTGAATGGCCTCGGGCTTTGTATGTATGTGATACTCTTTAAATATCTTCTTTACAAATAAGAAAAAGTCTGGTAGTAATTTTACAATTTTTATTTTATTTTTTATTTTTCAAATAAATACAATGTCAAATCACAGATGAGTTTCAATTTGGTTTCCATCCATGTAATATATGTATCAGTCGACGCAATTCTCTATTTCTCCTTTCCATTGTTTTCCTGAAATTCATAACAAAGTATGTAAATGACTTTGCTATAAATAGTTAACATTTGTATATTATATATAAGCAATAAAAGACCATATCATAATCAAGAAATTATATGAAAAGTTGAAAGTAAGAAAAAGGCATTTAGGCATATCTAAACAAAAGGTTGACTAGATGTGAAAATAATGATTTGCCTACATCTTATTTAAACTGTGTTCAGTAAAAGTCATAGTCACGGGTCACGTGTGAAGACTTCTTGCCGATACCTAAACCACCTGAGCCAAGGCCCGAACCAAGACCAGTGCTCGAGAACAAGATGTTGATCACAAAGATGAATAAGAACACTGAAATAAGACATATAAATACATTATTTCATTTGAAATAATAGCAAGAGAAATATTTTTTCGAAATATAAATTGCATAGAATATGAATGACACAAAAAGTAAAATATACATTTGTATAAGTGTCGACTGTCCATACATGTATAATAAAATTCATTATCTTTTAATTGAATGTACATTAATATGTTTATAAACAATAAAACAAGATCACAAAATTACGCCATATAATTTTCACTGGAAGTATTGATTTATTTTAAAGTAAAAATTCACGCTTACATTTTTTTTCTAAACAAATATCAAAGGACGTCGTATATAACAAAGAATGAACGTTTGTTAAACTTACGTTGGATAATGTTCCCAAACATGCCACCCATACCACCACTTGAGCCGCCTGTACCACCTAGAAAACCTCCAAAACCTGAAGATCCTGCCATGTATGGTCCGTAACCCATGTTACCCATGTAAGGGTATGAGGTAAACTTGTTGTGCCCCGTCATAACACTTCCGTAGCCAAGAGCCATACCAACACATGAGGCAAGAGCCAAACATCCGAGATATACCATTTTGTTCATTCTAGGAAAAGAAAAATAGATAATTTATCAAAAGCTACGATATATTCGATATTTGAACAAAATAACTTATCTGTTTATAAGTTGAAGGGATGACCAAATACTATACAAGTAAGTAAGTAATGCATCAAATGTGATAATTTTTCATTTCTTATTTTATAAGGTAAAGATTATAATGTAAATGTAAGTGTCTGAACCATACTAATTATCATCCAGATAAATTCACAATGTTTTCCTTATAAATGAAGTTGATAAATATTTAAATACATATTTTGTTCATTTCCTTTACCAATAAATAATGTAACATTTTGTTATCAAAAAACGAGTCAACAAGCGAACAATTTGGTACACTAAACTTACTTTTTCAGTTGAAAATCTTAGTGAATTAAAATAAATTAAGTCTTTGGTAATTTCTTTATCACTTTGGTTGTCAGTTTGAAAGACAAACAAGTTATTACTACTATGGACCAGCAAGAATTCCTTTTTATAGAGGAGTTTGTTGCTTGTACTCGGAAGGGGAAATACTATCCTTTATATGGGAAGAACATTTCCTTTTGTGACTGAATTTAATAACCACAATACAGTGTAATATTTCTATAAATCACACCTTTTACGTAATGATTAATTATTCAACGTTTTTTTTTTAATTAAAACATATTAGTAATAGTGTCCTAAAGTCATTTCAGCGGTTGGACATTTTGGTTTTGCTAGAATGTGTATACAGCGTTTTATTAAGTTTTCTTTATGATGTACCGTTTTCAAATATCTCACAGGGCAAATTAATGAAATTTGAATTCTAAATACTATAATTAAAGAATAGGCATAGGCATTGAAATCGCAATTTAAAAATTTACATATTTACAAGAACATAAAAAGGTAGCAAAGTGACGCAACAAAATGTTTGGTATAAGAAATAACAGCATTCATTAATTAGTATTGGGTATGTCTAAAATGATCGTCGTCATTCCAATGTAATAATTTTTGCCATATTCGAGAGAAAAATATAAGAAAATAAAAGTAAGTGCTTAATTGAAAATATAGTATATCAGAAAAATAATTGTATCTGCATTTCTAAGTTTAATTCAGCTATGTATCACAGTAAATATATATTTTTGTCAGGTAAAAAATCTTTGATTTTTAAATCAATTATTGCACAATGACCTCTGTAAAGCAAAGTTGTATAGAAGAAGCAGTTTTCGCATGTGGTACCTAAAATGCCAAATGTCTTTGACCAATTACCAAATATATACGCCTTTCTACGCCTTTTTCACCCCCCCCCCCTTTTTGCTTTCTCAAATTGTGAAAAAATGCCTTATTTAGGCCCCAAACACTTGTTTTTGTTTGAGAAATGTTGTTGAAAAAATGACCACTTTTTCGGCGCCGTCCCCCATCCAAAAGATAATTCAGGGGGTTGCCAAAAGGGGGATGTGTCCCCTTCTGTGTGGGGGGTTTGAAGGGGGCGGAGTCCCCCTCATCGCCAAGTAAATTTTGGACGTGTGAGTGGCTAAAAATGACCCCAAGTCGATCATAAGGTAACGTGTAACCAATGCCGAAAAGCCTTTGACTCTATCTCAATCCATTGAGAAGTGGCAGCACTTTGAAATCAATTTTGACGGAAAAAATCAACGCAAAATAGTGATTTTTGGCAATTTTGAGATGTCCCCTAGTTGCCATGGTAACAGGTAATTTAAGACTGAGCATGTTGTTACAAAGGCAATGGTCCAGACAACATTTGTGCCAAGTTTGATTACTAGTAGTATTGAAGCAGTTTTTTTTATAGTTTTATAGCAACTTGAACTTGTAACGGGAGACTTTTCAATGAAAATAGCCATTTTTCACAAAATGCTCATGGAGTATTGGGTTAATGAAAAAAATCAAAAAATCTACAAAACAACAATTTTTCTTCAAAATTATATGTAAGGCCATGTTTGAACATGGAAAAACGCGATTTATGGTAATTTCAGGTATTTTCATCATTTTCTGTTAAGAGCAGTGTTGCATGTGGTTCTTAAAATGCCAAAACGTTTCAAAAGTAGTTTTGCATGTGGTACTTAAAATTCCATATTGTGTTCAAGAGCAATTTTTGCATGTGGTACTTAAAATGCCCTAATATCTTCAAGAGCAGTTTTGCAAGTGGTACTTAAAATGCAATAATATCTTCAAAAGCAGTTTTGCATGTGATACTTAAATGCCATAATATCTTCAAGAGTAGTTGTGCATGTGGAACTTTGAATGCCAAAAGGCTTTAAGAGCAGTTTGCATGTGATACTTAAAATGCCATAATATCTTCAATAGCTGTTGATTTTTTTTTCATTTGGTTCTTAAAATGCCAAAATATCTTCAAGAGCAGTTTTCTTTTGTGGTACTTAAATGCCATAATATCTTCAAGATCAGTTTTGCATGCGTTACTTTAAATACCATGATGTCTTTAAGAGCAGTTTGCATGTGGTACGTAAAATGCCAAAATTTCTTTAAGAGCAGTTTTGCATGTGGGATAATTGTTATTATTAGACCGTCATTAACGTAACCAAAACCTAAAGAGACGATGTTTTTGATCTTTTAATTGAATTAATTGAAGTAATTTTTACTTGTTTGAATTACGTTTGTAATTTTAGTTATTTAGTTAAATTTTGGCTTTGTTTTGCTCTAAACAGGCCTGATGATATCGTAAATGTCAGCAAAAATAAAAGTGAGGTACCTCATGGGGAAATTTTTTTTAAAGAATATTCTCTTTATTGAAAAGTATGAAATTATATTTCGATAATTTTCAAATTTAATCAGTAATCCACTTATAAGCATAAGATAAATTGATTATTTTATAATTTCATTTGTAAGACACTACCATTATGACAATATCAACAACAGCTACTAAAAAAGGCAATTCTTCTACATTATGTTTTTTTTTTCTAATATACTTGTAAACAAAATTTTTTGTCTATTGTTAATTCTTTTTTTTTAATTCTTGTATCCTAAGTAGCACTTTTTTCATACCGTATTACTGATTGGCTAAAAGTATATCAACAGTTAAAAAATATATGGGAAAGATCAACAAGGCAAAGCGACGTTCACTGAACGCATACCGAGACAAAACGCAGCCGTACACAGAAGGCACTGAACCAACAATGGGGAGGAGAACACTAATGCGGAGGGGACAAAATCTTATACCTGCTACAGCATAAGCCCGCTTTGCTATACAATAAAAGTGCCTTAAGTGATTTGCATGGTGCAGAAAACCAAAACAAAGATGTCCAGTAATCACTTTTTTTTATTATTTCATTAAATGTTATGAGATCATGTGTAGAGCACGGTTATTTTAGTGAAAAAGCAATACATAAAACATTTCCTAGGTTTTCTTTTTCGTAAAGTGAAATTGAAAAATATATAACTGTCCGTCAAAATAATGATTTCACTTGAATTATTCTATGTATGACTTACTAAACAGAACGAGAGGGTTTTAAAACTTTGTTGAGTAAAAACAATTAAATATTAAGAAATTAATGAAAGTCAAAGTTTATCGCAGGTCATAAAATGTCATGTGGTATATAGGCATCGTGAATGATTTGTATCATGTACTCATTTATTGTCCACGTCACATGTTTAGTATGAAACATGCTCGCCCTAACAGTGGACACAAAGGGAATTTTGTGTGAAACACCAAATATAACTTTATTTCCGTAAAAAGGGGAGGATCTAACCTTTCAAAAAAAAGTTGCCTTATTCAAAGTGAAAGTGAAGACGACTCACTGAGCAGGTCATACATAGTGAGCTGCAGACAAATCGAGAAAAATATCAGTTCAGGCTAAGGTACTCTAAAAGAATAAATTAACTTACTCCAAACAAATGTCAGTTTAGTAAAAAAAATGTCAAGTATATTCCATTAGAAGATTTTTACAAAGCGGTACGTAATTTCATGAATTTAGAATCTAATTGCAAATTTACATTTGAACATGACAACAAGTTGAAGAGTGTATAGCCTGGTCTGGTTCTATATTGGCTGTAAAGACTAATCACTTCCGGTTTCAGAAGGGAAAGGGTTAAAAGTACAAAATTATGTGATAATAATTAGACCGTCTGTTATATTTCATGTCCTGGCTTTGACGTTTTTATTATTGGAATAATAAAACAAGTTACCAAAAAAAACATATTTATATATATATATGTCAAATATGTTGTGTGACTTTTTGTATCATCAAGACAAGGGCTATGGGTACTTGATGAAAACAGTAGCTGAAGATGAGCAGGTACACGGTATTCTAGTTATTTGAATGCACAAAGAGACATATGAAATAGCAAGGGACTAACTTCTGTCCTGTTGATTTTGTGTAATGGATTTCCCGCGCTAAATTTAATTTGGAACAATCGTTCAAAATTTACAGTAACTCAATAATGTAAAATTTGAACCAAAACAGAATATACACTGATCAGACTGGATGACCTCGGGCTTTGTATATATGTGATACTCTTTAAATATCTTTTTCACAAATAAGAAAAACGTCTGGTCGTAATTTTACCATTTTTATTTTATTTTTTATTTTTCAAATAAATACAATGTTAAATCACAGATGAGTTTCATTTTGGTTTCCCTGTAATATATACATCAGTCGACGCAATTCTCTGTTTCCCTTTTCCATTGCTTTCCTGAAATTCATAACAAAATATGTAAATGGCTTTGCTATAAATAGTTAACAATTGTATATTATATATCTATAACCAATAAAATACCATATCATAATCAAGAAATTATATAAAAAGTTGAAAATAAGAAAAAGACATTTAGGCATATCTAAACAAAATGTTGACTAAATGTGAAAATAATGATTTGCCTACATCTTATTTAAGCTGTGTTCAGTAAAAGTCATAGTCACGGGTCACGTGCGAAGACTTCTTGCCGATACCTAGACCACCTGAGCCAAGGCCCGAACCAAGACCAGTGCTCGAGAACAAGATGTTGATCACAAAGATAAATAAGAACACTGAAATAAGACATATAAATATATTAAATCATTTGAAATAATAGCAAGAGAAATAATTTTTCGTAATATAAATTGCACAGAATATGAATGACAGAAAGAAAAATAAAATATATAAGTGTGGACTGTTCATACATGTATAATAAAATTTATTATCTTCTAACTGAATAAACATTAAAATGTTTATAGAAAATACGCAAGGTAACAAAAATTACGCAATATATTTTTCACTAATAATAAATTCACGAATACATTTTTTTCTAAAAATATCAAAAAGGACGTCGTATATACTAGTTCTTGTAACAAAGAATGAACGTTTGTTTAACTTACGTTGGATAATGTTTCCAAATATACCACCCATGCCACTACTCGAGCCGCCTGTACCACCAAGAAAACCTCCAAAGCCTGAAGATCCCGCCATGTATGGTCCGTAACCCATGTTACCCATGTAGGGGTATGAGTTAAACTTGTTGTGCCCCGTCATAACACTTCCGTAACCAATAGCCATACCAACACATGAGGCAAGAGCCAAACATCCGAGATATACCATTTTGTTCATTCTAGGAAAAGAAAATATCGATGCTTTATTGATAGAATAATAGAATCTGAGTATTGTTATTATTTACATAATAATGTCCATAACCTTATAAACATGCATAGAAAGGCTCCAACAAGATTATCTTTGGTAATAAAAGTTTGTTTTACTTAAAGCATCTTTTTATTGTTACCTAAGAACGAGTCAATAGAACAAAAACAAAATAAAAAGATACAGCAAACTTACTTGTTCAGTTGCAAAACCTAGTGAATTGAAATAAATTAAGTCTTTGGTAATTTCTTTATCACTTTGGTTATCAGGTTGAAAGCCAAACAAGTTGTTACTATCATGGACCAGCAAGACTCCCATTTTATAGATGTTTGTTACTGTCATTCGGAAACAGGAAGGAGCTATCCCCCATATGGGATGAACGTTCCCTTCATAAAATAGTTTACCACAATATCACGTAATATACTTTTTTTGAAATTATACACCTCATTCAATATACAAATACTCGTTTATTAATTTTGTATATTTGAAAAACCAAAAATCGATACATGAAATGACTGACAAAGTATTTTTAATATATAATCATTTACGAAGAAAGGTTAATAAGTATGAATAATATATGTATGATGTATGTATGATTCAGGCATTTCCCAGCGGCTTTTTCTTTGCGAAAGACAAAATGGTGAACAGTTGAAACCACCTGGGTTGAACTGTTGAAGCGTTTCAAATGTCGAGAGCAGTTTTGATAAATAAGCGATGTTTTAAACTTTAAATGCGCAGCCTTTACAATGTACGCACGAAAAACTCGTGCTTGGTAAACTTACGAAAACCAGTTTTATCGGAATGTTTTACCGTTTTACACGGATGAGTTTTGAGGCAATTACACGTATGCACCCGTCAAAAATTAAAAGGGATTTATTTCTCAAAAGAAGATAAATCTACTTAATTCAAAGGGCTAATAAAAGTTTCACCCATTGTGGGATTTGAGCTTACGACCTTCCGCATGCGAAACAAGGACCTTAACCACTACTCTAACAGGCCATATGTTTTTCCTGTTCGTGCGTTTTCGTATATGGCTTTATCCTGCCACCCCTGTGTACTTATAAATTAAGATTTCCCATTCTCGATCATATTTGAATGCCGGATTCCGATGATTGCCGATAAAAGGTCATTGAATATTCAAATGTCTCAGGCCAATATTGGCCAACAATATTTCAATAATGAAAAGGTCAGAGTTGAGAAGCACGGCGGAAAATGCCGAATTTTCCCGCTTCACAGATTACAGACCACGTGATCATTTGAGCTAACAGGTCATTTTTGGTGGGAAACTCGCGCCGAGAAGACGTTCTTTGTATATAGAGTAAGTGTGATGATATTTTACAACTTTTGTATTTGATCGTTTATATTGTTCTTTATGTATGCTATTTTTATGTACTCGCGTTTTATAAAATATCTTTAAATATGTATGTTATTCCTGTAGTAGTTATTTAGTTG